AGAAACATTATATAGTTCATTTTTACAGCTGATGTTTTATGTCCAAATGATAGTAAGCAGCGAGCATCACTGCTTCTATCACCATCACAATTTTTGCTGTGGGAAAGAGAGTGGAAGAGACTAGCAGTAGCAGAAACCAGTGTTCCCCGACAACAGGGAGATGCACTATATGGAGTGACAGCTCAGATGCTAATTGGGGACGGACAATATTTGACAACAGCTGCCCAATTAGCTCTGCCGACTCCAGTCCACCAGCAGTCACAATCATTGGCTCATCGTGCATTGTTAGTGGTACCAGATAAGAAGAAAGCACCATCGTATGTAACAGTGCAACAGGGGGCCACTGAACCCTTTAGCCAATTTGTTGACCGACTCCATGCGGCGTTGAAAGATGCTCCAGAACTCACTGAGGGCATGCAGACACAGTTGTTCTGCGCACTAGCTTTTGACAATGGTAATGCAACCACCAAGCGCCTAATAGCCACACTTCCGCAGGGATCAGGGGTAGATGTCATGTTGCTGTTAACATCTTGGCCTGAGCAATTGAACCAAGCTGCAGCTTTCTCAGCAGCCATGAAGGAAACTTTTCATCAACCATTAACGGCAATGGCTGCTGCGTTGAGAAGTAGTGGAGGGCAGCCAAAGAGGCAGCCGGCTAAAAGTAGTCAGACCACAGGCGCATGCTATCGTTGTGGTGAGACAGGTCATTGGAAACATAGATGCACCAAGCCTGTTTGGTGCCATACCTGCAATACAGATACTCATGCAACTGTGGCCTGCAGAAAGTCGGGAAATGACAGGTGCAGCACGAAGAGACCTCGCGCAGCGACACAAGTCCAGGTCTCAACCCCTCAGGTTTCCTACTCAACCACACACCAGCAACCCCAGGAAGCCTCGGAGTGGATGTGACAACAGCAGTAGTGACCACATTAACCAGTACTTCTGTGACACTTATACCAACCACAGCATATGGACCTTTGTTTTCTAGAGATTCCCCAGTGGGTGGGTTATTAATTGGTCAATCGTCCATGGGAAAGCAGGGCGTTGTTGTGCTCCCTGGTGTCACTGATGCAGATTAAACAGGTCAAATCCAAATTATGGCATATGCATTACAACCACCGGTAACCATTCCAAAAGGTAGTAAAATTGCTCAAATTGTTGCTTTAGAGTCAAAACATCCCTTGCATCAATCAATTCTGAATGGTCCTTCCGACGTTCGAGGAGACACAGGTTTTGGGTCAACAGGATATGATGTGTTTCTAACACTTGATTTAAATCAGCGACCATAGCAATGTCTTGCAATCAGTGGATGGTTAACTAGCTTATTAAAAGAAGGCCCTCGCTTGCTTATTTACTGTCTGATTATATTTTTAGCTGTCTGTCTTTGTATTTCATGAATATGAAAAGAGCTGACAAAGGCCATGAATGAAGTCTGGATTGTCCAAAAAGAAAAAGGGGGATATGTAGTAGAATTTCTGACAGAGAATGGCCACGATATTTTGTTGAAAGGTTTGGACAATCCAGGCCTGAGATCAGACTGCTAACAACACCTGTGTTATGAGGATGACCTTGAAGGGCTGTGTTGTGAGGAACTATATCTGTTAATGAGGAATTTTCCCATCTATGTATCTGGCTAAGCTCAGCACAAGTATGCAGCAAACCGCAAGATGCTTGCCTATCACAGTTTCCCTTTGAGTGCGTGATAAGTTGCTTATGACCAATAATCAAGGGGTATGGGGCGTGTGAACAGTGGGTGCTTGCTTTGCAAAGGGTATAACCAAGCGATTCGGGCAATAAAGGGGGACGACATGTAGCCGCATCGGTGTGATTGTCATTACCCGGGCCACTGTCCGTACTGGGACCCTCTTCACTTTATTTTGGTGTCTCCTACATATTGCTTAGTCCAAGCCACTTGGATTCTGAGAGCTGCTCAGAGTCCAAGAAATGGAAAACTCTCCTTAAACCAGTGAAGTTTCACCTCTCTAAATAAACTGCAGGTGCAGCTCTGAACAAGCTCTTGACCTAAACTCTTGTTAGAATCATAGAATATCTTAAGTTGGAAAGTGCCCATAAGGATCATTTAGTTCAACTCCCTCATCCTTGCAGGACCACATAAAACTAAACCATATGACTAAGCACATCATCCAGACACTCCTTGGACTCTGTTAGTGTTGGTGCCGTGACCCTGGGGAACCTGTTCCAGTGACTGACCACCCTCTCACAGTGGTCCTGAGTGGACCTTTTCCAACATCCAATCTGAGCTTCTCCTGATGCAGCTTCATTCCATTTCCCCATGTTCTGTCACTGGTCACGACAGAGAAGATAGCAGCACCTCCCCCTCCACTGTCCCCCTTGAGGAAGCTGTAGCCTGTGATGAGGTCACCCCACAGCCTTCTATTCTCCGAGCTGAACAAACCAAGTCACCTCAGCCACTCCTCCTAAGTCTTGCCCTTGAAGCCTTTCACCATTTTGGTCACTGTCCTCCAGACACACTCTAATAGTTTAATGGCCTTCATATATCGAAGCACCCAAAACTGCACACAATACTCAAGGTGGGGCTGCACCAGTGCAGTGTAGAGTGGGACAATCACCACCCTCAACCAGCTACCTATGACGTGCTTGACGCACCCCAGGACACGGTTGGCCCTTTTGGCTGCCAGGGCACACTGCTGACTCCTATTCAACTTGCCATCAACTCATCCCCCCGGATCTCTTTCCATGGTGCTGCTCTCCAGACTACTGTCCCCCAGTTTATATGTATAACCAGGATTACCCCATCCCAGGTGGAGAATCCAGCACTTGTTCTTGTTAAATTTCATATGGTTGGTTATTGCTCAGCTCTTTAGTCTATCCAGATCTCCCTGTAAGGCCACTCTACCCTTGAGGAGTCCACAGCTTCTCCTAGTTTAGTATCATCGGCAAACTTCCTTAATGTACATAATTCCTGCATCCAGATCATTTATAAAAACATTAAAGAGCACTAGTCCTAAAATTGAGACCAGTGAGCCAGGCCCCACTGATGACTAGCCATCAGCCTGATATAAGCCCATTTACTGTAAGTCTTTAAGCCTGACTCATCAGTAAATTGCTCTCCCAATGTATTGTGGACTTGTCTAAATGTATGCCGGACATTTTGTCCAGAAGGATACTGAGACAGTATCAAATGCTTTGCTAAAATCGAAAAAATCCACATCTATTGGCTTCTCTTGGTCAGTTTGGTGGGTGACCTTTTCATAAAAAGAAATTGAGTTAATTAAGCAGGACCTTTCCCTCATGAGCCCATGATGGCTATGACCAGTGACTGCATTGTCTCTCAACTGTTCTTCAGTAACTCCCAGAATAACCTGCCCCATAATTTTGCCAGGCACTGAACTGAGACAGGTCTGTAATTACCAGAGTGTTTATTCTTTTCCTTCTTGAAAACTTGGACAACCTTTGACAGCTTCCAGTTGACCGGGGCCTCTCCAGACTACCAAGACAGTTGAAAAATAACTGAGGGAGGTCCCACTCTCCTGACCTCTTCACTAAGCACCTGAGATGCTCTTCATTTGGATCTGAATGCCTTGGGTTTCTAAGCAGCTTGGAAGGTAACATTACCACTCAGAACTGCGCCAGTACCTGAATAGTAAGCTTTCTGATTAACTGAGTTTCAAAAATCTGTTCCAGAAGAACAGACCTTCATGCTGTGATTACTCCCCATCTCTGGGAAAGGACACAAACATTAAGCAAGTTCGATGCCTACTCATCAAATGCTGAAAATTGTGGGCTGCTTCAGATCAGCCTATTTTATCAAATGAAAGACATTTTTACAAAAATAAAACGGATTTTCAACAGAAGGAGGGAGGATAAGATAAGATTTTCTATTTTAAGACAAGGCAGAACAAAGCAATGCTGAAAGTTGGGTTTAAGAAAAGAGGACATTAGAAAAATCCACCAAAACATTTGATTACAGTTAAAAAGAAAACAAAAGTAAAACATCCCAAAACTCGGGCAAACTGGTGCCTGGTAGCACTCACTGGAAGGTGATTTAGCATAAGGATTCTTTCAGTGCTAATTTTGAAAGTCCTCTCTGAAATGTTATAGATAGCAGTCCACACACAGACAACAGGATGAACAACTGCATGGATACTGCATTGGTCAAAGGGATAATAGGGGATAGGATCCCTGTATGCTCACTGACATCTCTTTCTCTATTCAAACATTACAGAAGACTGAAATTGCTCTAGAATGCAATGTATAATTTAGTTTCTCTTGTTCACATTCAAAAGAAATGGGATTACCAGCAATTTCCTGCTTTCCTTAGTGCCCTGCCCTTCAGTAAACCTCCATCTATGAAGACTGACAGGCACTTCAGGCTCCTAAGAAGTCACATGGGGGCTTCATGGTTATAATGGTCACTAACACAGTGTTTTAATTTCCACTGTGGCTTTGATTTACTACTGAGGAGCACTTTTACTAAATACACTGCAGTATACTTACTAGCTTGAAAAAACATATTAGTACAAATACCTTCATTAGTCTATTCATAGCACTACACCTGACAAAAGAATACTCTGCTATCCATTTCTTTCTTTTCACTTGTCCAGTAAAAAAAAAAGAAAAAATGAATTACAGTTCATGGAGTTTTGAAGTTTCAAGGTACACATTTTGAAGAAATTCTACAATATTTGGTTACTCAGATAAAAGCAGTCTAGTGCACTTCAGGAGTCACAGGGTGGGAAAGGTAAAGGAAAGGGAACTCAGTATCAAAAATATCTAGAAGCTTCAATCTTCTAGATTTAAAGAAAAGTGGGACATTCAACTAGAGTTCCTTGATGTAAAGCAAACTTTATTGATTTGTTTTTCTAAGGAAAAATCAGATATTTTTCAATGTAAAATGGCAAAATCTATGTCCCTTATTTTCTTTACTTCCAACTAAGTTTTTACAAAGTGAGAAAAAGCATACTTTTGTAAAATACTGAAAGGCTGAACTTTTACACAGTGTGGGCATCCCAGCATACCTCCTGAATGGCTGTCATGACAACGTGTTGAACCGATTCTTCCATCATCATTATGGTCTGGATGTACTCTGAAAATAAGAGCATTCTGAAATGTTACTGTCGAAACTCAAGTCACACAGAACATGAAGTCAGAAGCTACATCCTTCCTACAAAATGACTAGGTGTCAACAGATGACACCGAAATGCATAATCACCAGTCAAGTCCCACCCCAACAAACTCAACAAGACTAACAGAAGTCCGTTCAGATATAAATCCAGGCTCACTGGAACACTGAAACAATGAAAAAAAAGTACATGATTGCCATCCATTTTTTTGCCTTCTGGCATCTCACACTTCTGAAATAACTACTTGTACTCCTTTTCTCACTTTGTTCCCAAACTATTCTGGCTATACAAGTACATGATCCACACATAGGCTGTCCTTTACCATTAGTTTAACAATAATGTCCTGCCTTCCTACAGTATCCTCATTTCAAGGCATTTTCACATCCATTCTTGGTTTCTGTTCTTATTTCTGTGCTATGTCACAAATAAGTCCCCTCCACTTTTTTATTCCTCACATATGTGTTGATGTGAGCTACACAACAGGTACCTTATAAGATGATACAATAGTTACAAGGACACATTCTGATATTTAGACCAAGTCAAGGAGTTTATTACTTGCGCAGTATCATAGGGTTTCCAGTCAGATATGATTACCTTTATATGTGACCTGTATTCTTTCAATGATTTGCCCAAGAGGAAGATGTTGAGAATCAGTCACCTCAAAGTGATTAATTAGGTCATGTCAAGTCTTACTCAAAGTACATAAAACTAGGCCATTCCAATATTTTAAATGTGCATTTTTAATGTCCAGACCAAAAGAGTAAGAGAAACACAGGAATAAGATATACTTCCCACATGAGGATGCCAAATAGTCACAAAAAGGGAGATAATTTTACATAGAGAGGACAGGAAGCCTAATAAAACTGAGTTATTTATGTATGCACAGAAGAAAATTACCTCTCTTTTAATTAATAGGATAGCCAGACTGTCTCCTAGTTAAGGGAACAATAAATGTAATTTCAGAAGGTGAAATCAAAGTGATTTAGACATCCGAGAAAACTGGAAAGGGCAAACTAGCTAAGCTGCACCATGGAAGAGGAAAACAAAAGGTCTGAAACCCTGGCTGTCATTTTGTCAGAAAGGAAACCAAACTGATTTAAATCAGGAGGAGATAGATATTTGATGCAACTTTAGTGTAAATACAGTAAACAGTTTTATTTATCCACATATGTATTTTATAAGCATGTTCCTATGCTTCCTGTTTTAAGTGTTAAGAATAAATGTTGGTAGTTGCTTTGTTACCTTAACCTGGCTTGCATTAAGTGTAATTTAGGGTAATTGGGTAATAATATGACAACCTGCATCCAAAGCAAGTTTAGAGCATGAGATCCGGGACACTTCAACAAGCAACTCTGTTGTTCATCACATTTTCTGTAGCATCTGAAGGAAAAATGAATTGATCCCTATTTCACCTGTGCAGGTCAGATAGACAGTCGGTGTCATGGGAGTCAAGAGAGGCAGAAGTCTCTTTCAGTGACTGATGAAGTGGGATGCAATCACCTAATAGACATCTCAAGTGGTAATTTGGATGCTCTCAAGGTATAATGTTCCAACTTCAGCTGCTGCCTAGAAGGGCATGGCTGCCAAAATCACTTTTCCCTATTTGCCAACCCCATTCAAAAGTCTCAGAAACTACAGTATCCCAAATCACACCAGACACATCTTTAGACTACCCTCCTGATGGCTGTCAGCCATGTAGCAAGATGCTGACTGAAATGCATTCTTAAAACCAGAGTCACACAGAATAGTGCAACAGTCACATTTTTTGATTCTTAACTATCCCATCTACCTAAGCGGGTAAAGCAAAACCAGTTCCACAGTTTGAGACTCTAAAACTAGTGAAGCTTGTAACAAAACAGTAGGACAAAATAATGGCATCACTGAAAAAAATACAGTTGTTTCTGACAGCAGCCTGAGAAATATACTTTCTCCTCTAAGCAGTTATACAACAGGGCAGATTTTCATTCACTGCCTGGGAGAAAAGATGCTTTCAAAATTTAATACCTTGCTTCTGTTCACAGTTCACAGCACATCCCAAAATAAGCTGAAGCATTCTCCCAAGCTCCGCAGCATCAGCATGCTCTCCAATCAGGTTAACATCAGGAAGGGTAAAGTCATTAATGTGTTGCCCTAGAATCTGCACAAAGACCCAGTACATACATGTTTTTATCACTACATATATTCATACACACACATTTCAATACATAAACGAGCAATTCACTACTTTAACACAGTTTTCAATCCACCTTCAAAACAAACTAAATTGCCTAACATCCAAATATTAAACCACACTGCTTGACACAACTAATATTTGAGAGAAGACAAACCTGACTCTTTCACCTAATGAGAAACTATTAGTTTCAAACTTAGCAAGATTTATTTCTTCAGATTAGAAATGTAACAGAGGCAGGCTTCCACAGTTATCAACAGCACAAGGATAATTAATTTTTTTTAAAAAACATTCCATTAAAAATGTCTAATGCCTAAAACACCTTATGTAGGCATAAAATAATATACACAAATGTTACATTTCTTACCACTAGAAAGCCCAAAATTGAAATATTTTACTTATACATGTTTCTAGCACTGATGGATAACAATTATGACAGCAAAAAACTCAATCACTTAGCTTCACACTTTTAGAAAATGTAAGGATATTTATTGAGTCTCAGAGCTAAGAAAGCTGGTTCCATGGAAGAGAATTTGAGGTAGCACAATACATAATTAAACAGCCCACATGCAGAAAGAAAAAAAAAAAAAAAAAAAAAAACAAGAACACAACAAAACAGAAAAACCCATGTGACTTACCATTAATGTAATCTGATTTATAATTAAGAAAGATTTACATTAATTCCTCCTACTGACAATCATTAAACAATTCTGCTAAATTGTTCGTAAAGAACTTTCAGAGGGCTGAAAATATGAATATGAAACATGGAATTAAACACCTCTCTGACACATTAATTGCAGATAAAAAGAAACTGTCACTTCTTAAGCAGGGTGCAATAAGGAAACAATGACTATGGAGGGAATCAGCCATTTGTTTGCTGGATGCCCTTTTTTGTGTTAATACTCAAGAAAAACAGAAAAAAAAGGTAATGGTACTTGTAAAAAACATTTAACAGATGCATATGAAGAATACATGGAAATCTAGCCATTCAAAAGTTTTCCAGGGTTGGTCTTTGTGAAGTTGTTGTGGTCGAGTTTGTTCTTATTTTGTACAGTGGTTTTTGTATTGCAGTATTATTTTCTTTTAAACAGCTTTCTCAAAGAATAAGCACCAACACTACCAAAAGTGTCTGTATACTTTAAATGACCCAGATTCATTCTTGTTGGAAAAGACTTTCTTCAGGTGATTCTAGTGAAAAAGCAAGAACTCTGAATGCATCAAGCACCAATGGAAAATATTACCATTGTATATAGACTGTGATACTACAGTAAAACACAATATTTTTCTAATTATACAAATCTGATATGTGTTTATATATTGACCTGTAGTTCCTGAATTTCTGTCAAATGCAATATTGTATTTAAATTAATAATACTATGACGACTTCATAGTTACTGATAATATAATTGCTGTTGACGAAAACTGAAGGGAAGAGGCGTATCATCAGGCACTATGAAGAAGCCAAGGATGAAAAGGTGTAAATAGAGGATTTTGAAATAAAGATGAGATACAATTTTAATTCAACGAAAAAAATAATTTGAAACAAATATGGAAATGAAGGATAGACTCTGCAATAAACATAATAAGATTTAAAAGTTCATTCTTCCACTTTTTTAAAAATAAAAGATCTTTACAAAAAAATGAAAGTTTCAATTCCAGAGCAGCAGAGTTCTATAGCAAGATTACTGGGGCATAACAAAGCATGCAAGCTATAGATAGGTAACACTGGCTTCTTGTTCTTCCATCCTATAACTGACAAAGACAGCAATGTAAGACAGCTATTGAAAGACTGCCTTACTGAATGCAAGACAAATTTTTGAATTTTTCAAGAAGATGAACAAAATTAGCATATATACTTTCCAAAGCCTTTTAGCTACATCAGGTAAAATCCATATACATTCATATCCATATTTTTGTAGAATGTGACTGCTAGGAGAGGGAATCAGGTTGAGGAAAACATAGCCAGGATTCATAGCAGAATCCAGATCATCTCCACAAGCATTGTCTCAGAAGGAAAAAAAGAAACCCAACCAAAATCCAGTCAAACTTACAAGCGCGCATTACCTTTGCAAAACTTAATTAGCTTGAAACAGCTCAAAACTTGACAGTAGTAAAGCTTTCACACCAGAAACTTAATCATCATACATACTAATGAGCCCAAAAGAAGCTGGCATCACTTTGTCATAGTAATATTAATTTTCTATAACAAAAAACTTATTTCATTGAAAATTTTAATGTAGAGAGAAGCTAAAAACGATCTTTACTCTCTCACCCAAAGGGGAAAAAAAAGAAAAAAAAAAAGGAAAGAAGCAGTCTTTAGCTGGAGCAGTGGACAAAGATAAAAAAAAAAATCAACACTGTTAAAGTCCATCATCAGAATATAGTCAGCAAAGACATCTACTGTTTGACAGAATTTGCACATCAGGCTCCTCTGGAAGCTCCAAGTATTCAACAAAGCAGATGAGAAGTTTGAGAGAAGGCTAACATCTGAGAATAGGCCATGAAACACTCTGTATGCCAAATGCTTTGCAAGAAGAAGTCAGAACTTAATCAGTAGAATATAATTTATGTTAAATATGTTAACTAAAATACATAACAAAAAAGGAATGTAGATTACTTAAAATGGTTCTTACCTCATGGTTGTAATCCAATATTCCTTTTAAAATTTTCTTCAGGTTGCTTACCTATTTGACAAGATGAAGGAAATAGAATAAATGCAGGGAATAAATTACAGAGAAATGATCACAAAGTAGGCAATCACAGAAGAATCACACAAAAGAATCATACAATTACATCTACTTGCACAACGAGACTTTCTGTTTGAGCAGTTTATTTTAGAATCATGAAAGTTATGCAATCGTCCCTTATAATCAGACTTCCAGACCTGATCACAAATCTTTATTAATTGACAGAACCTATTTAAATTTATGAAAAACATCACATTGTCTTGGACAGGCTTTAGATCAGACTCTAAAGAATTAATCTTTTTTGGAGTACTTGTTTATCTTGGGATTAATTTTGTATCCAAAAGTTGAAACATTGTTTCCCTCCTTTATTGTCTTAAAGTATCATAGTGATCTACTTTCTGCAGTGATAAACCTCTTCTTCCAAACCAAAAAAAGCTACTGCTCAATATCCTCCTCTATTCTCAACCTCTATAAACTTAATTTATTAACTTCCTCTTAATTATTCCTCTTAGTTCTTTTATTTTTGTTCATCTCCCCTACCCCAGTTCTTTACAATTGAATGTCTTACACCACCAAGGCAAAATTCACATTTCTCACTGATGCCTTCACCACCATACAAAAAGATAGATTCTGTTCATTTGCATCACCAATGGCACCAGAGAAGTGTCTCCTGCTGTACAGAATCTATGCCACACTTCTCTAGTACTGAGTATTGCTCCCTTTCCAGCAAAAATCCATTTACATCAAGTCTCTGAGAAAAAGAGAGCATTTAAGCATTTTTTTTTAAAAAAATGCCCAATGGATCTCACAGGTGATATTTACAGGTGATATTTAGGGGAAAAAAAAAAAAGGAAATCTTTGCTGAAAGTAACTGCTACAGATTCACACCAATTAATGCCCAAGTATTTAAGCAAGGAATTTAGATAATAACAGCAGAGCACTGCCTCCTGTGACAGAGGAACAACTAAGCGAACTGGAGTTGTTTCTTCTGGAGAAAAGGAGGCTGAGGGGAAACGTTATTGTTCCCTACAACTACCTGAAAGGAGTTTGTAGCAAGGTGGGTGTCAGCCTCTTCTCCCAAGTAGCAAGTGATAAGACAAATAGCCTCGTACCGGGGGAGGTTTAGGTTGGATATTAGGAAAAATATCATCACCAAAAGGGTTATCAAGCACTGCAACAGGCTGCTCAGGTAAGTGTGTGAGTCACCATCCCTGGAGATATTTAAAAAATGTGTAGACATGGTGATTAGGGACATGGTTTAGTGGTGGACTTGGCAGTGTTAGGTTAACAGCTGGACTCAATGACCTTAAGGGTCTTTTTCAACCTAAATAATTTTATGGCATCTAAAAACAGGTCCTGCAAAGACTGAACCTGACTACATTAGGATTCACAAAGAGCTGTTGCTGACAACAGTAGCCATAGCAGAAAACTGTCGAACTATAATGAAGGGAGAGCAAAAACTCTCAAATCCGAACTGTCTTTAAAGCCCACAGTAACTTATATTAATTGCATTCCAAAAACATCCAGCTAGGAGTCTGTCCATCGACAGAAGTCATCTCTCTTCCAAAAGATCTGAGGAAACACTATAGAAAACAGTTAGGAAACATGATGCTGAAATCCAGGAAAAAGCTAAACACGTCAACACAGTCAATGGACAAAATGTGGGGTTGAAAGCAAAACCTACTCTCTTTTCTAACAGAAACTCATGAAAGGAACAGGTGTCCCCTCCACACACATATTTAGCCATAAAATCCAAAGTGATAATGATCTGATTACCTTATTCCTATTAATCTACTCCCTTATGGAAACAAGTGGCAAAAACTTGACTACTTAATAAGATAGAATGTTTGTCTTCATAATCATTTAACTTCAGATCACAGAAGAAACAAATTCACTGGGACTTGAAAAGTGATACATTGAATATTCTGACAACCTAGAATGAGAACTGGAGATGCTACATGATAGCAAGTATCTAACAACATTTACTGTCCCTCCCATAACAGCATAATAATTAGTTTAATTCCTGGTTTATACCTTCTACTCCCAAACATATACTATTTCTGTAATATTACACATAACACATCATGTTTCTGTAAGAACTACAACTATCTTCTAAATGTCTGCCCAAAAGCAATCACCACCATCTCTCAAAGGCTATGCACAAGTATAACCACAGCCTGCAACAGATTTAAGAATGTAAAGAAATAGAAATAATTTTATTTTTATGTCAAATCATCACAGAGAACACTGCACTGATTGGAATATAATTTTCAAACTTGATTCATTAAATCTTCCAGTTTGTAATTTACCTGAGTCTGCTGCAGAGAGTGCTACAGAAACACAAAGGCCATGCTGCAGAATTTAAGTCCAGTTTACCGATGAGAACATTGTGAGGAACCTTGAACTTGAACCTAATCCCAAATGAGAAACAAAATGGAAAGTACCCACCTATAAAATACTTCTTTTTCCCTTTCTTTGCAAGTATTGCTTGAATTAAAATCCCTTAAAACACAAAGAGTCATCTTCCTCCACATAACTTTCATAGATCTTACAGTTGAGATGCTGGAACAAAATCAATACTGATCAAAATCTGTCATCAAAGCTAATATACAGGGCAGCATCCTTGGAAAAAGAAAACAGCAAACAAACTGAAAAAAAAAATCTTGTCTTTGAGGTCCTACTTCATTCCACCATCAATCAGCAATACTACGATAACTTGCTTTCAAGAGTTAACTACCATCTTTGTCTCTGGCACACAATCATGCAACTGTAAGGCTAAAGCAGGTTCTTTACAGACTGGCTTAAACTTGACAATGATCACCACTATTACTTGGAGGGCTCTTGATTTTTTTTTTTTTTTTAGCTTGTCTGAAATGAATACACTTACATGGTTCTACTACCACTGGCAGAGAGTCACTGTCAGGAAACTACCACAATTGTTTTCTGTTTTGAGATTCAACTCAGTAGCCCCAGTAACATTCATCAGGTCATAGCATAAGTTCTTAAAAGGAAGACTTCAGCAATGAATGAAAACGAACAATAACACAAAAAAGTGAAGACAACCAATTACATCAGAATTTAAATCACGGCAGGTGGTGGTTGTTCAAAATTTTTTTTCTCTTTTTCTTAAGCATATCGGGAAAACCTAACTATAACTAGTTAACAAAGACCATTAAATCATGCAATGATAGAACACAAGAGATAGAATTTCCAATATTGATCATGAATATAAAGCACTGTATCATCCTTTGGAGATCAGCCCATGATCACATCGGATGCTTATCTGCTTGCATCAGCAATCTGACTTCCTCCATTTCCATACAAAGAATGTATACTACCCTCCCAACCACTTCGACATCCATTTCCTGCACCCACACCTCTGTTAGAAAACACATGAAACTTACTGGGAAAAACAATAAATAGTGACAACTGTGTTTTATTCCACTTCAGAAGCTGTTGCAGCTCACAACAGATGGATTATTAATTATTTCTAGATGAATCTCTATACGTTTTCAATTGCTTCCCATCTGTCATTTCCTCTTTTATTTCTCCAATCTCCTATTACCAAGGAGAAGATACTCACTTTGAACTAATGCATCCACAACAGCAACCTGCATGCTGTCATTCATTTTTTGAATACCTATGTTTCACTAATATCCACAGCAGTGCTGTGTGGATGTTCCTTATGTTAAATGATCATTACCCTCCCAGTTTACAGCCATCTTGGCTGTAGTATAGTACTACATAGTTAGCACACACCATTCAGTGTCTGACCCTTATTACACAGTATTAACCTGATAAACTGTCTGGAATGAAAGCAGAGATGATGGGCCCTGGGTTACTGAAGGCAACACATGATCTGGCAACACCATATGACTTAATGTTTGTGGGGTTTTTATCTGTTTTCCACACCCCCCCCCCCCCACCTGTCATATGAAATCTCTATTTTTATTTAATTACAATTTACTTACTGGTTCCAAACTGACGGTCTGTCTAGATTTCTCTCTTCATTAATATACTTGAGTAACAAAAGGAAAGTCTCATGAAACTGACAGTAGAAATGCCCCGAAGCTTGTGACTGCTGACAAAAAAGGAGCATGGTTTATCTAGCCTCTTGTTTTTGATCTAACATTATGACAGCCAGTCCCCATTTTTACATTTATCCTTTTATCACATGCATGAGGGAAATTCTGTTTGTGCTGAAGGTTGTGCAAATTGACTTATCCTTGTACATTTCAGGTCCTGAAGTGTCTGAATGGGAATGCCAATGTTCTGAAATGCTGTTCCAACAGTATCCTTTCACACAGGTTATAATTAAGAACCTTATAAACTCTGGAAGTGTTGCTAGGGAATACTTGCAAATGGTGAGAGAATTCTTAATCAGCTTCCTATCTCATTAAGGTACATATTCTTCCCAGCTGCACTTAAAAGTGGGGGTGCCATGGGGATTGATGGGAAGGAGACTGTGTATGGATCATTACCACCAAATAAATAAGGTTTCTGCTCTAAACTGCATTCTGCAGGACCCTGTCTCCTCACTGATTATAAATGGACCCTAGAGAGAGACTATACCACTAGCTTTGGGGGTTATCCCCCCTCCAACCTGTCTTCTGCAAAAAGAAAACCCAAAAGGAACAGATATGGATGCTTTTTCTAGTTAAATGACAAGGAAAAAAAAAAATTAAATATGGGTCTGAAGACAGAGAGCATTCCCACATAAAACTTCTATTTGAAGACAGTGCTGACTTAGGTATTAAGAATATATTGAAACAGAATTAAATATATCAGTTGCCAATTATCTTTCTGACAGAAATGAATGCTGCCGTACAACACACCTATAATCTCTGCTTCTTACTTGCAGAAGAACATTCACATGACAGGCTTCTATCCTTATCAGAAAAAAAACTTCTAAAAGGCTGCCTATGAATAAGTGCTCCCTTCCCTTACTAAGGAAAAAAAAGTAGCAGAAAGAGCATACTGTACACTGAAAACTAGCTTCCATTACTCCACCAGTCAGCCCATCTTGTACTGTAGCAAACCTAACTGTACTACTGCAGGAAGTCAAAATTAATACACAAAAAAAATCAGGTTTGTTTACTTAGATTATAGCACTAAGTAGCCTGTGCTGTAATTTCATTGGTTATTCCATTTTGCAATATTGTATCAAACACAAGGCACTCAAAATGTACTAGTTGCAGAAAGTCTAGTAGCTGCTATTGTTTGAATGTGCTATTCAGTATTGGAACACACACAGCTTCTACTATAAACATCAATAAAATTGTACATTCAACTGATGCTGTAGTCTGAATGCCAACATGAAAAGTCCAAAAGAAAAAGTCAGAAATCAAGCTGAACCATCTATTTCCTTCCTTTTCCAAGCCAGGTATGACCATGCTGAATGGAAGGGGACAGGGGGGAAGGGGCCAGTTTTAGCCCACCCCTCAGAGAGTCAATAGCTTATTCTGTAATTGCCAAAGTTGACATGTGTGTATCAAATCATTTACTGTTTAAATTTCTCTATTATTGGTATTCCTGTATGACTTGACATTGAACTGTTCCCGTTTCTTGATCAGGGAATTTCATTCCTGCAAAATTTTGGCAACAGAATTATTTTCTATGCTGCTCTCCATTTTCAATAAAGGCAGTTTTATAGTCAAAATGTCATCTTCTTCAGTGTGAAATACTAGTATGTGCATAGATAAACTCTGACTATATTAAAATCTTGAGTTGTACATCAGGAAAGATATGTCTTTGCCCTTTTTTTTTTTTTTTTTAACCACAACATAAAATTGCAGTTAAGGCAGAAGTGAAAAGTAGATTTCTTTGTTGCTCAAGGGAAAACATAAACTACTATGTACCCTGATGTATGCTATGCCCAAGAAATTTTAACCCCTAAGAAGTAACACGTTTATTAAACACAGTAAGCAAAGATCTGGTCAGCTGTAATACACAGATTGCTTGCTGAATGCTTCCTACTTAGCAAGTCCACTGAGTTCTAACATTTCCCTTTTTCTATCCTGTGCATTGCTCAATCTCTCAAGTTAGACAACCTGTGCAGAAACCAAGAATGTAACAACAATCTTCAATTTATAAATTTGTTTTGAACTGGTACAGCAACAGGAAAAATATTTTTAATAAGACTGCCTTCTTGCAGTTACTGGAAAGTGAACTGCTGAACAAAAAAAATAATGCAAGCTGAGCCATATATACTTGATTATTCCCCACAGAGGACAGCATCCAATTCAAAGTTAACAATTACATAATTTTCTGCTTATCTCTTTCAATGGTGGCTAGGATGGCTGTACCAGGCCTATACCTCTACAGGCCCTCCTAACCACTGTTCCACAAAGAAGAACTACCTGCACATTACATTTTGGTTTGGGTATTTTTTAACTTATTTCCCCTACTAGACTGGCTCCTTTATGTGGTTCATAATATCGAGAGCTTGTGCAAGTGGTGACTATTATGCCACATGATATTGAAGGCAAAGATGAACCACATTTAGCAGCAAGAATATAATTCAGCTCATTATCATGACTTGTGAGTTAGTGAGATAACCCAAATATCACTTCTTATGGTGCTTCTTAAAATATGAAAGGAAATCTATATTATCGAGTCAGGCAGAAGTATGTTGCCTACATTTTAAATCTAGTGACAAATGAATAGAAGTGCACAGATTGGCAGTGTTCCTACAAACCAATACAAACGATGGATTCACTGATAGACATTTGAACTAGATTGCTAATAGTGTTTATTCACATATAAAGAAAAACAGTTGGCAAAGTATAAGATTACGTTCCTGGTTACAAAATCAGAGTGAAAATACCACATTTGTGTCTTTTAATATTCTTCATGAAAAGGGAAGTGGTATATAAAAAATTTATACAAAAAAACTGCAGTATACAACTCTTAAATAAAAAAAATAATCAGTCTTTAGTTCTTATTTACATGCATATGTGAAAAACAAGAGGAATGAAGAGCAAGAAGAATCAGCAAGAAACTGAAATTTGACCTGATGTTTTCCCAACCTCAGTCACATAAGGAAGTTACTAAATTGCTCAGCTGCCTTTTTTTTTTTTTTTAATTCACACCTACTAAGCCTTAGTATCTGCTAAATTGGTGGGAGACAATAAAAAAAATGTATTCTTACAGCTCCTTATGAGTGTTATAGAAGCTGCTGTTCTGCTTTCAATCAGCTGAAATGCCATTATAACAAACAATTCTCAATTTGTTGTTCTCCAAATTTAACAGCCAAGACTTCAATATTCCTTGGGAAAAAAGCCACAGAAATAGTTTAGAGAAAAATAAAACCTGTATCCAGCTGTTTACTTGCAATTCCATATGCTTCTTTGAAAAGTTCATTTAAATTAATTGCTCTGCAAGCAGCAGAACTAACAAAAGCCTTTTTAGGGACCTCATCTTTTATTCACCAGTCAGTCAATATATCCTCATCAATGTACTCACATTTTTGCTGGCAGCTCTGGTAGACAGAATAGTCTAAAGCAGCCCAGACTTGCACAGAGCTGGCCCAGGCAGCAGAGACCAGGATGACAGGTCTGCTGGCTAAGTCAAAACAAACAGCAGCAGTATGCTCCATCCGCGTCTCTTGACAAGCCTGTAAGTACTAGGGCATTTCACAAATCTAGCCCTTCCCCAGATACTCAGAAGGGTTTATGATGTCTAGAACAAAACTGTTTTATAGGAAACAGGAACTAACAGACAAACCACCGCCATTTTGTTTCCCCAAGTAGTCAGGCTGGAAATGGCAATTTAAAAAGGTACATCCATCATTTTCTGAACAAAACTGATCAGAAACTACACTCACATCTGCATGTGAAACTATGTTCTTCAGGTTTTACAAACCAAAAATGCTCCTCAGCTGGAGCACTGTAAATTCTGTTGCCTTAAGGTTTGCAGAGAAAGTACTAGAATATCAAGTGATCCACATGACCCAGCAAATGCACTGTGGTTAAAAAACATGATGAGTACAAACAACACAGAAAAAACACAACTTCCTCTCCTAAAGCTCAGTAGTTGTGCAGCTCTGAAAAACTAAAAGGAAACAATACTTTGCTATGTTTATGTAAATAAATTGCTTATTATTCTGCTATTTTTATGCAACTGCTTCCAAGAGCTCTTTTTTATTTAATGCTACTTTGCATTTAAAAAAATCTTCCATTCAACATTTGAAAAAGAGGTAACTGATGCATAAAATGTATTTTAATTTATTTTAAATTACTGAAACCCATTTGCAAACTTAAAATATCTTTTCTTCACTAAATTGTGCAGAACTATAACAACATAAAACCAACAAAGTATAATTAAAATGGTCTAAAATTCAAAATGCTGTACTATAAAGCAAGGTCTTAATCTAGGAATATGCTAATATTTAGATACAATATTGTAGTAAGAACTGAAATACAGATTCACAGACAAGCAAAGCAAGTGAAATACCTTTAGCCTCCAATTATCTCCTACTTCTGTTTTGATCCTGTTCAGCCAGTTTTCATCAAAGTAAGCTGGATCTCTGAAACAAAAAATGTAGAATATTCATTAAAAACAGGTTACAGAAACTGAGGATATCTTAGTGATTAAGCCCCTATGTTATGCTGAGGTTATTTAAACGATTACCTCTGTATCCAACATGGCCCATATACAGTAGTTCATAATCCTGTTACTATTCAGTTTTCTAAGGTCTTGCACCCTGTTGACAGCACAGCTTCATTTGTGGGCCATTAGTAGCTAATACTTTTGAGGAAGCTGACTACTTGGAATGATTTTGCCATTTTTTCCCTCTGTAAATTCTTATTCCTCTAATTTATCAGCTAGTGCTGGAGCAATGTTTGTTTGCATTACTCGGAAGTGTTACAAAAAATATTACTTTTCCACATATTATGGATTCCTACTGCCATACACTGCTTACAACTATTCCACTTCTAAATAAGAAGCTTGAGACCAAACAATATATATATTGTTTTTATACAGTGAGAAGAGTTAAAGTATCACTGAAGTTAATTATTTATTACTGAGAACACACTTTTCTATTATTTCATCTACCAAATACTAGTAGTTTTTCCAAATCTCTTTTCATGGTAACCCTAGACAAATCTTTTTATGAACACCTTTCCTTAAAAGCTTTTTTATCTTCTGCACTTTTGATGAGGAAATTAATATAACGAACAAAACACCTACTGCTTGTAGAGTATACTTCTATTTCTATAAACTTCTTTCCTCTCTTCCTTTTTCTCACAAGCATCTTCCATAAATTGCTTCAACACAACTCCCAAGACTCTCTTGTCCCCAAGTTCCAAGATCACCTAAAAGGCTAACATTTTCTACTGTTCACTTAAGGCAAATTTTCTTTATATCATACAGAACTTTGAGACTGTTATGGTCAGAACTAAGGGTAGAGAATGCATTACAAATAACTGGTTTTAAAGTAGGTCAATATAATATAAGGAAAGGCTCATTTCATTCAACATCTAAAGTTAATAAAGTTAGAGGGAAAAAAAAACAAAACAAAACAAAACACTTTCTATGTTTTGTAAGCATAAGGTTCTTGAGAGTCAGTGTGGTAAACCAGGTTAGAGTTCCACATGAAGTGTTCTAATACTGCTGCATTTGTCACCGAGTACTTACTAGATTTACTGCTGTATCCTCTACAGATAGAAGGGTTCTGGACTGAGCTCTTTTTTTAAGGGCAAGATACCATGACATCTTTGGAAAAAAGTTCAAGAAAACTATGAATGTGTCTGGAGATTCAAATGATATTTATATCATATATGCTGTAAACTAGCAATTACATCAGTACTTACATTAAGTCACAGACTTTGTAGCCACACTTTATATCTGATGCACAGTATCTCCTGTACTCCCTCTTCCCCACAATGCATCAAGGTCTGCAAGCAGCCCATGATAACAGCAACGGGAAGAGATCACAAACAGCAATGTTTCTCTACTGACACATTCCAATTGCTATTTTTACACATTCTGTTACAGACACTGGTGAAGATTACGGCAGATTTCCTTTCCTCTGACATGGCATCTGCAAATATATAGCTGGAAGAACAGCTTTAATTACTAGTTAAACTGATGACTCCAAATTACTCCCATTCAAAACCAGTGCAGTTCTAGCACAGATGACAGAATCTTAAACTACAAAACAGAAAAAGCAATGTCTTATCCAGAGTTTCATCTGGTTTTGAAATAGATGTTTTCAAATAGCTTCCAAATCGTCTCTCTGCCCTCAGAACATAGGTAAACCTAAAAATTAAATTTATCTGAATACATACAAGATCTACTAGAGATGAAGGCAGCTCACATTCAGCTTTTACATGAAACAAATGGCTCTCCTTGCAAAAAGTCTTAATTTGCCTAACTTCCACCCAATCACAACAAAATCAGATGGACAGTAGTGAAAAAAAATGAGAGTTCAAGACCCATGTAGCCCTTCTTGATACTGCTCAAGCTGTGGAGTACAAAAAGCACCCTAGTATCTTTCAGATGGGTCTTCTGGGAATTGTGAAGATCCAAGTGAACCTTGCTTACAACAAACTCACAACTACAAAGTGTTTATGCATCTGAGTGAGAAAGCAAGTGTGCCAAATTACCTGTGCTTCACCAGCAAAAAAGACCAACATAGCTTAAGGACTGCATCTTATAATTTTAAGGAATGCACTTGGTCACTAACATCTTCAGCTGCTTCAAGGCTACAGTGCCATGAATATACCAATTCTTGACTTACCATTTTCATTGTAAATGACTCTAAGAATCAACACAGGTAAGCATAAACAACTGCCCACAAGCAGAATAATGTTTGGACTGACTTAATGGCTAATACTGTATACTGATTTTCAATGATAAAGATGTCAGCTGAGGAGAAGTAAGAAGATTTCAGGGTCAGCTCCAACTCCTTTCACTCTGGAAGCCTGTATTTAATAGCAACTAAGAAGCCTCTCAGTTACTATTGCAATAAAAGTAACACATGGACCAGCAACTGGCCCTCACTGTCTTGATGGATATCTTAGGTTACCTACACCTTTACATATGTCATCACATATATATATATATAAAGAAGGTCCCTGAGAATTATATCTAAACTCAGTGTGGTGGCTGCTTCCCACAGATCCCATTTCTTTTTCCAAGTATACAAACCTCATGAAAGTACCCAGTGGTCCAGCAGCTGATAAGCAATCTACTATAAATCATCAACACGTAACAGTGGTCAGAATAGTGCCAACAATTCTCTTTAAACCACCTCTATGCAGATTACACAATCATTAGTAGCATATTGCAAAAGCACTTTGCCAGGAATACAAGCAAGAGGTTGGGTATCAATGCCAAACAATTCTAGAATGATCATCTTTTCCTCATCCATAAATCACTTCAGAATAATTCCTAGTGCACTGTTATAATTTAATTTCTGTCCTCAAAAGTCTGATTAAGGTTATGAATTAATTACACCAGCAACATTTTTTCTCTATATCAAACTAATGGAAATCAAATCTGAAATAAAAAATTTTCCAACAGAATTCCTACAAATACTTTTAAAAAGGAGCTTCCAGACACTAGGTCACTCACAGACCTTGCTGTGAACAAGTCTTCCTCTGCTGAATCTTTGGGGAACATGATTCAATCATATTCAGAGTTCTTTAACTCCCTTAGTCCCTGTCATTAAGAAAGACGTTGGCATTTCTTACAGTGTTTGAAAAAGCATCACCTAGACAAATACAAAAATGTGTGGTTGAAAACTGAGCAGATGTGATTACAAAACCTAACAGCTCATTTTGAAGAGGTACTGCACTAAACAAAGGCTGCAGAAAACTTACTGGTGCACCATCATTACCATTGGATCACCTGTTTGAACCAAGCATCTTGAATTCAGTAAGTTCCTGAGCCTAGATCCAAACTTGACAATCTCTTGTGCTGGATAATTTTCCAAGGTATAAAGGTATTTTTGTATCAGTTGATTGGTGCCTAGTATCTGAGAAGTAGTGCAGATAACTGGGACTTTTCCTCAGAGTAAAAGATACTTATGCTGTTGTTAATGCTGTATCACTTCATGTGATGTTTTCAGCAGTGCTCATTTATACCATCTCCATCTTATTTTGTATGCAAATTTGCCTTTATTTAAGCAACCATCTCTCCACATCATAGGCGCAAGAGACAGAAATACTTTTCTGAAGAAAACCAACCCACAGAGCATGTAGTATAACTCATGATTATTACTCATTTTAACAGTGGTACAGTAAGCCTCTTTAAGACATGTCTGTTTACAAAAATTTGCCTCCCCCAGAGATATTCAAAAGCAGGGCTTTTGTGTTCTTCATGTGTCAAAACATACATAGCATGTTCCAATGTATAATATAACAAATTAATAATTCATTAAGTGGGGCACAGTGCACAGATGACAAATGAAAATATATAACCTATCTTACATTTACCAAACCCAGTATAACAGACAAAGAAAGAATTAAAACAAGAGGGACACCTGGTACTAAACAGTTGTCAGAGTGGGAAGAAAGGAAAATTTAAAACTGTAGTATAAAACAGAAAATTATGCTGTTATAGAGATATCAATGGACACTGAAAACATGAGTAACATGAGTGAAAGCTACAAAAAAAAAAAAAACAAACATGAACAAAAAGAGGATGCAATTCAGAAGCAAGCTATGGCACTTCTGTCTGCTCTAAACATAAGCTACATGATTTTAGGCAGTCTACTCATAGTTCAAACTTTTTTTTTTGCTTCCAATAATTTCTTCGGGAGCACAGTACTCTGTAAAAAGACCATCAACACTGATTGTGTACAGGCATCTTATCATATTAATTCTAGACAGAGGGACCAGTAACTTTCACATCTGAACACAAATAAACAGTGAATCTTACAGAATACAAAGAAAAATAAGGTAGAGCATAGGCTGAATTTCCTCCTCTGGGATAATATATTTAGCACTGGGGAATTCCATTCAATGCTACTTCAACCTGAAATTCGAAGATAAATGTTTTATGATTAAAAGAAAGAAAGTGTCCTTCAGGGATTTACCGACACCTACTTATTAACAAGGGAACCTGTAAGCAAAATGCCTGTGGTTGGTTACATCTCACACATTTCTGTCACTTTGTATCACACACTACATCAGTAAAGAGCTTCTGAAAGTGTCAGTAATTCTCTCTGTACCCTTTTATTCTCACAGCCTCTCTCCAGAGTTTTATTATAGAAAATTCTGCTATATGAGTTGTTACCTCTGATGGGTGGTCCTTAATTACAAATGGGCTGCTACCTTGACTGCAAAAAATTGAGAACCATGTACAAAAAACTGAAAACAATTGAAGGAGCTGCTGGCCCCTTCTTAACACTTGAAATAAGGCACAGCTGTTTTTTATCAGCTGATGAATAAGCAATATTCTTCTTTTTTTTCTTTTACTGACAAAAAATCCCACTGTTCTGTGCTGTGCAAATTTTCTGTACATCTAAAGCAATTAATTCCCTGAACTACAGATTTCTTTGAAACTGCTGTCATCATA